TCCCAGCAGGGGGCGCTGTGGGGAGTGGGGCAGGAGCTGGCTGTGGGGGGAGCACTGGCTGGGAGATTGCCCACTGGCTCTGTGGCCAGCAGAGGGTGCTCTCCCTGGGCTCCAGCTGGCGTGTTTAACCCTTTCCTCCCCGTGGCAGGTGTCAAAGGCGGCGGCGGATTTGCTGGCCTACTGCGAGGCGCACGCCAAAGAGGACCCGCTGGTGACCCCGGTGCCCTCCTCGGAGAACCCCTTCCGCGAAAAGCGGCTCTTCTGCATCGTGCTGTGAGCCCTGCGGCCAGCGACTCAGCGCACCCCCCCTTCCCCCCCCCCGGGCTGCAGCTCCAGAGCGGCACCGCTAGCTTTAGCGTAGGGGAGCGGAGAGTGGGGCAGAGACCGGCCGAGGGGGGGGGGGGGGGGCACTGGGGCTGCACACCCTGACTGACCTGGGGAGTCTGCTTCACCTGTCCTCCCCCCCGCCCCGTGAACATTATCTCTGAGGATTCACCCTTGTCTGCTGTTTCCAAGATCAATAAACACACTGCTGAGTTACCCTCCCTCTGCCCGTTCATTGCGTCCCCAGCCCCTGTTCCCCCACACCCCCCGCTCCTGTCCCCCCCCCCCCCCCCACCCGGTCCCCCCGGCCCCCCCCCCCCAAGTCCCCAGGTTCTCTCTTCCCCCTGCTGCCCCCCACCCAGTCACTGAGCCCCCAAATTCCATCTCCCCACCATGCCTGCCCAGTCACTGAGACCGCAGGCCCTGTCTCCCCCCAAGTCACTGAGCGTCCAAGTTCTGTCTCCCTCCCCCAGCCAAGACCCCAGGACCGATCTCTGCCCCAAGACCCCAGGTTCTCTTTCCCTCCGCTGGCCCCCACCGAGTCACTGAGCCCCCAGACCCCATTCCCCCCTGAACTCCCAAGGTTCGTCTGCCCCCACCCCCCACCCACTCACAGTGCCCTCAAGCCCTGAATCCCCAGGTCCTGTCTCCCCACCCCCGCTGTCCCCATCCAGTCACAAAGCCCCCAGGGCCTGTCTCCCAGGGGGATGCCCAGGGGTGGCTGACAGATATTAAGGGACTCGGTCCCCTCCTGTGTAGCAGGCTCTGTGGCACCATGGCCCTCAGTGGGGGGAGGTGAGGTTGTGTGCCCATCGCCCAGGCCCCCACAGCGGTGCTCTGTCCCCGCTGGGCAAGCGGGTGCTGTGGCTGTGAGGCCTAGGGGTGCCATGTGTCTATGAACAGGGGAGGAGCGGGGCGGGGGGGAACCAGCTGCCCCCCATCCCAGCAAGGTGGGGGGAGAGGGGGACCAGAGTCCGGCATGCTGCCCCCTCTCCTGTTATAACAGGGTGACATCCAGGGCTGTGGGAAGAGATTGGAGTTTACTGGCAGGACCCGGGTCAGAGTGACTCTGGGTTAATGTGCCTGCCACACAGCAAGGGCCGGAGCCGCCAGCTGCACTGGGAGCTGTTACACACGTCCACACGCATGCACAATGTCCAGACACACACATGCATGCCTGGATGCACACACACACACACATGGATGAACACACATGCATGCGTGGATGTACACACCTGCACACAAGCCTGCATGCCAGTATGAACAGGGATGCAAACACAGACCCATGCCTGTATACACATGGATGCACACACATGTGCATGGATGCACACGCATACCTACAGACACATGCACACAGTGGCGTTGGAACACATTTAATAGTGGGGGTGCTGAAAGCCAGCACCCTTACCCCTCTCCGCGCCCCCCCTCCCTGCTGGGGCCCGGAGCAGGGCTGTGTCTCTGAGGGAGGAGGGGGGGAACTGGGACAGGGGTAAGGGGGCAAGGCTGGGACCACACCCACCTGTAGCAAGGATACACCTGAAATGGGGGGGGGGGCTAAGGAGGGACCCAAAGAAGTTGGGGTGCACGATCACCTGCCTACCGAGGTGCTAATGGGTAATGACTTGGAGGACTGGCCGGATGGCACTCAGAGCGCCTTGGTCCTTACCCAGAGCCAGAGCTAGCGAGGGACATGGGACATCCCGAAGCGGGGACCAAAGCACCGAAGGTAGGGCTTGACAGGGCTGGGCCGGAGCCTCCGTCCCAAGGTGGGGAAACTGAGGCACCACCAACCAGGGCTGTACCCTCAAACCCAGCAGCTGAATTCCAGACGGAGCTGCAGGAGGGTCCCTCCTTAGAGAAGCTGAGGGCCCTGGCTGGCCACAGTGGTGCAGGACACCTGGGGGAGGCCCGCCGGGAGCGATTCCTGTGGGAGACGGGATTCCTGTACTGGGAATGGGCTGGTTTGGGGCAAACAGAACCATGGAAAGCCAGGAGGCAGGTGGTGGTCCCCCAGAGGTACCGCCGCAGACTGTTGCAGAACTTTTACTGGCCCGGGGTCTTTGACGCTGTCCAACAGTACTACAGGTCCTGTGACTCCTGCCAGAGGGTGGGGAAGGTCTGGGATAAATGTAAAGCAGCTCTGAGACCTCAACCCATCATAGAGGCTCCTTTCCAGAAGGTGACTATGGACATAGTGGGGCCCCTCAGCAGGGCAACCTGGTTGGGGAAGAAATACATTCTGGTGGTGGTGTATTTGGCTACGCGCTACCCCGAGGCGGTGGCCTTGTCCTCTATCGAGGCAGACACCGTGGCTGACGCGCTGCTGACCATTTCCAGCAGAGTGGGGTTCCCCAAGGAGGTCCTTACAGACCAGGGGTCCATCTTCATATTGGCCCTGCTCCAGTGCTTATGGGAGAAGTGTGGGGTCCGGCACACCTGGGCCTCGGCGTATCACCCTCAGTCCAACAGGCTGGTGGAGAGGTTCAATGGGACCCTAAAGATGATGGACCAGCACCCGCAGGACTGGGACAAGTATTCACCCCACCTGCTGTTTGCATACAGGGAAGTACCCCAGGAATCCAGGGTTTTCCCCGTTCGAGTTGCTGTACGGGAGGAGAGTGAGGGGACCCCTGGACTTGATGAGGGACAAGTGGGAGGGGAAGGCCTCTCCCGATGGAGAATCAGTGGTGGAATATGTACTGACTTTCCGGGAAAAGCTCGTGGAGCTCATGGGCTTGGCCAGGGGAAACCTAGCCAGGGCACAAAGGAAGCAGAAGACCTGGTAGGACCGCTCAGCACATGCCGGCTCCTATGCTACCGGGGACCAGGTGATGCTCCTCATCCCCGTGAGGAGGAACAAGCTGCAAGTGGCCTGGGACGGCCCCTTCACGGTCATCAGACAGGTAAACGAGGTGAACTATGTAGTGGAACTGTCCAACCGGGCACACAGCCACCAGGTGTACCATGTCAACATGATGAAGCCGTACTGGGACAGGGAGAAGTTGGTGCTGGCTGTGTGTGGGCAGTGGGAGGAGAAAGGAGAGGACCCCCTGGTGGGTCTCCCACCTGAGGCTGGAGCTGACCCCTCGCTGGAATCAATTCCCCTCTCAGACCAGCTAACCCCTGTCCGGCAGGCTGAGATCAGAGAGGTGCTACATTCAGAACGGCAGCTGTTCTCCAGCCAGCCTGGGCTCACTAACCTGGCTGTTAACCAGGTGGAGACGGGAGCCAACCTTCCCATCAGGTGTTCAGGGTCACTGGGAAAACAGCCCAGGACCTGGCGAGAGAGGGCGGAGACATGCTGGCTTTCGGGGTGATCCAGCTGTCCTCCAGCCCCTGAGCCTCGCCCGTGATGCTGGTCCCCGAGACGGATGGGTCGATCCGGTTCTATGTGGACTATCGGAAGGTCAATGCCATCACCATGTCTGATGCCTACCCCATGCCTAGGACTGACGAGATCCTAGATAAGTTGGGGGGCGCCCAGTACCTCACTACTATGGATCTCACCAAAGGCTACTGGCAGGTGCCTTTGGACCCAGAGGCCAGGGCGAAGTCCGCCTTCACCACCCCAATAGGGCTCTTCGAGTTCCTGGTCCTGCATTTTGCCTCAAGGGGGCGCCTGCCACCTTCCAGCGCCTGGTGGATCAGTTACTGAGGGGGACGGAGGACTTTCCTCTAGCGTATATTGACCATATCTGTGTCTTTAGCCAGACCTGGGAGGAACATGTGTCCCAGGTGAAGAGGGGGCTGGGACACCTCCAGGATGCAGGACTGACCATAAAAGCTGGAAAGTGCAAGGTGGGGATGGCAGAGGTGTTATACCTGGGCCACAAGGTGGGGAGCAGTCACCTGAAGCCGGAGCCGGCCAAAGTGGAGGCAATCAAGGACTGTCCCCTCCCCAGACTAAGAAGCAGGTCCAGGCTTTCATTGGGATGGCGGGGGACTACCGGAGGTTTGTGCCCCACTTTAGCTCCCTGGCAGCACCCCTCACGGAGCTGTGTCGAAAGGGAAAGCCGGACAAGGTGGTCTGGACCGAACAGTGCCAGAGGGCTCTCTGTGCGCTGAAGGGGCACTTATCCAGGGCCCGGTGCTGGTAAACCCGGATTTTAGCAAACCCACCCTGGTGTTCACCGACGCCTCAGACACGGGGCTGGGTGTGGTGCTGATGCAAACCGATACTAAGGGAGAGACACACCTCATTGTGTACCTGAGCAAGAAGCGGCTGCCTCGGGAGCAGCACTATGCGGCCATGGAGAAGGAATGCCTGGCCATGGTGTGGGCCCTTAAAAAGCTGCAGCCGTATCTATTTGGGCGGCGCTTCACCGTGTACACCGACCATTCGCCCCCGACGTGGCTGCACCAAATGAAAGGGGCTAATGCCAAGCTCCTGAGATGGGCCCTGCTCCTCCAGGGTTATGACATGGAGGTGGTCCATGTGAGGGGGAGTGCCAATGTTATAGGCAATGCTTTATCACGGGGCGGGGGCCCTGAACTTCCCCAAGTCACTGGCTAAGTGACCCCACTCCGTTCAGACTCGAAGGGGGGAGAGATGTGACGGAGTGGGGGGTTTTCTTGGTTTTTTTCTCATTTTTTTTCAATGGTTTGGATGCAGTGGGGGTGGGACTCAGTTTCCCTGGGTGTTACTGGTTTCACGAGATGAGGGGAGAGGGAGTTTGTTGTTACAGAGGACCGGAGAGGGAACTTGGGACCCCGGCCAATGGCCTGGAGAATGGATACCCCCAGCGACTGGTGACCTGGTGACCGGGAGGCCCAGCTCGGAAGTCACAGCCGGTTCTGGCCAGTGGGAGGACAACGGGCTGCGGAGAGAGGACCCTGGTGACCTGACCAGTCGGTTCCAGCCAGAGCGGGACAAAGGACAGAAGAGAGGAGAGGAGGCCCAGGCGACCCTGTTTACCTGGACAGAAGACAATGGACAGAGGTTGGGCATGGGGGAGGTGAGATCATATGCCCAG